AAATGGCGCGTGGAATTGCATGCGGGCGCTGCCGCTGGGGCCTTCGGTGGGATTCCAATGGGGCCACGAAAAGTGTGAAAGGTTGTACCGAAATGGAGGGTGGAACTGCATGCGGGCGCTGCCCCTGGGGCCTTCGGTGGAGCCCGATGGGGCCCCGAAACGTGTGAGGGGTGCACCGACATGGAAGGTGGAACTGCATGTGGGCGCTGCCACTGGAGCCTTCGGTGGAGCTCCTTATGGGGCCACGAAACGTCTGAAGGGTGCACCGAAATTGCGGGTGAACTGCATGCGGGCGCTGCCACTGGGGCCTTCGGTGGAGCTCCTTTTGGGGCCACGAAACGTCTGAAGGGTGCACCGAAATGCGGGTGAACTGCATGCGGGCGCTGCCGCTGGGGCCTTCGGTGGGATTCCAATGGGGCCACGAAAAGTGTGAAAGGTTGTACCGAAATGGAGGGTGGAACTGCATGCGGGCGCTGCCCCTGGGGCCTTCGGTGGAGCCCGATGGGGCCCCGAAACGTGTGAGGGGTGCACCGACATGGAAGGTGGAACTGCATGTGGGCGCTGCCACTGGAGCCTTCGGTGGAGCTCCTTATGGGGCCACGAAACGTCTGAAGGGTGCACCGAAATTGCGGGTGAACTGCATGCGGGCGCTGCCGCTGGGGCCTTCGGTGGGATTCCAATGGGGCCATGAAAAGTGTGAAAGGTTGTACCGAAATGGAGGGTGGAACTGCATGCGGGCGCTGCCCCTGGGGCCTTCGGTGGAGCCCGATGGGGCCCCGAAACGTGTGAGGGGTGCACCGACATGGAAGGTGGAACTGCATGTGGGCGCTGCCACTGGAGCCTTCGGTGGAGCTCCTTATGGGGCCACGAAACGTCTGAAGGGTGCACCGAAATTGCGGGTGAACTGCATGCGGGCGCTGCCACTGGGGCCTTCGGTGGAGCTCCTTTTGGGGCCACGAGGCGTGTGAGGGGTGTGCCGAACTGGACAGGCGCGGGTGCCGAAACAGACACATGCGGAAGGCAAAAGCAGGGATGGGAACAGGGAGGAGCGGGAGGAGAAGAGGACAGGAACGCGGGGCGCTGACTCTTCAAAACGAGGACCCAACACCACAGGATGTTGGGAACAAATGTTGAACCTAGTTCGCAAAAGCCTGGGCGCAGACCTGTGTTTGGAAACCGATGTGCAAAACCATGCGTGCTCATTTGATGTATTCGGGGCACTCGAACTTGAGATCTTTACGAAACCGAAGGTGTGAAGGATTGTGGCATGCACGCGCGACGACACGCGCGTGCGCACTTCGTCCCATTTGCTGCAAGGGACTCCTGAAAACTGCTGAATTATGATAAACGCATGTGCGCACATAATGTGATTTGTTCACAGGACGGTGTGGGGGGAAGGTCTGAACTCCGCCTGACCGGGATGCGACGAACTCATGGCTTAAATGAACGATGGGGCAGACCCATATGTAAATTGCACACTCCCAGGGCCAGGGACTGTCCCGGGGGGATGGTAGATCCTAATGCTTGCGCAGAAAGTGCAATCCATGGTTTACAAAATGTGTGGTGCAATATGTGTGATGAAAACTGTGGTGAAATCTGTATGGTGCAACCGATGCAATGCGCCATATATGGTGTGTAGTATATGTTGAACGATCCACGTTGCGCCATTCATGTTGTGCACTCTATGTTGTGGAACGTCTGTGGTGCAGTCTGCGACGTGCAACTCACGTGGTGCAAGAACGTTCTGTTCGCGTTGAGTTGACAAATCCACGGTTCGCGCAATCATCCCATCCACACACCCGCAACTTGGTTTGGAGAAGCCATGTGGCGGCGATTGCGATGATTGCTTGGCGCTGGCTGGCGCATCGCTGCGGCCGCGCTAGCGCGCACATGATCGCGCAGAGCGACAAGCTAGTCTGGTGCGACCGACGCGGTCGCGGTGGCGCTGACCGCGGAGCACTTCCCCCGCGTTTCGCAGACATCACTGACTCGAGGGAACCTCAATGCGATTCGGTGACTCGGGCGGGCGTGGTATCATGAGGACGTCGACGAAGGCAGACACGATGATTGCAGTAGCGATGGTAATGGCGACGATGGCGATGACAACGGCAAGGCCACTGACAGCGCCGATGCTGATCACGCCGATGACGATGATGGTGTCCACTTGTCGGTGATGACGGATCCGAAAAAAACTGTGACAAGCGCGCGCGGCAAACGGGCGCGGCAGACCCGAATTAGTTTGTTGACACGGATCGTGCCCCAACCCCCAAGCAAGCGCGCAAAGGCGTTACAATGATTTCGACACAAGTGCGCGAGATGCCTCCCTAGTCGCATGTGATGAACACGTTGAGAACCGATGGTTTCCAAAGAGGTCGCACGAGCGCGCACGCAAGTCGTTTTGACAAAATACGGATTGCAAAACAAATGTTCGTTTTATAGGTTGAGGGAAACACGATCTTCAAATCCGTACAAAACCTGGTCTGTTAAAGAACTCCGGCATGCGCGCGCGACGCCGCGCGCGTTGACTTCGCAACTGCATCGGCAGGGGCCGCATGCCCCCCAACAAGCGCGCAAGGGCGTTCGAATGGTTCCGACACGCGCGCGTAAAAGGCCCGCTTTGTCGCAGTCGATGACTTTGTTGGACATCAGATGGCTGCCTACGACTTTGCAACACCGCACGCGTAGAGTTCTTTGGTAAATCGTGTTGCAAAACTGTTCGTTCTCATATGGATTCGGAAACATCAACCTTGAAATCCGTTCGAACCCTGAGGTTTGCACGCGCGACGACGCGCGCGTGTCGATTCGCCCCTTTCTGTTGCCAGACATCATTGACAGCTGATGAATCATGATCAACTGGCGCGCGCAAATAATATGACAGGGGGTCGAGAAGGGCACTCCCTGGGATGGTACGAACTCATATTTAAGATGAACAGTGGGGCAGAATCATGCGTAACATGCACATCCACAGGGGGTACCGCGAAGACCGCGGGGGAGGCTGGTAGATCTTATTTGCTTAGATTGGAGAACCGAGCGGAGTCGACGGGAGGGCATAATTTGGTGCATGATTCTCATGCCCCAGCAAGCGCGCAAGGGCGTTCGAATGATATCGACATGCGCGCGCAGGAGGCAAGCTTGGTCACAGTTGGTGGAAAACGTGAAATTCCGATGGCTCCCTGAAAATTCGCAACACCGCGCGCGCAGAGTTCTTTGAGAAATCGCGTTGCAAAACGATCGGTTTTATCTATATTTGGAAACCTCGATCTTGAAGTCCGTACAAAACCTGAGATGTTTGAAGAATTTGGCATGCGAGCGCGACGACCCGCGTGTCGACTGGTCCCATTCTGTTGCAACAGATTATTGGAAACTACTGATGTGTGGTAATCGAACGCGCGCACATAACATGATTTCTCAAAGGTAGGGGCCGGCAAAAAAGGCACTCCATGGGATGGTACGAGTTCATACTTGAAACGGACGACGGGGCAGAATGCGGATGCTCCAAAACGCGGGTGCCGCCACACACCCGAAGCCGAGTTCAAAGAGCACGCGGGGCCCAGGCACCCCTCGTGCGCGGCGGCGGGCATGCGCGGCGGCGCGGGTGGGATAGTCGGTGGCTCGGACGAGCCCGTCCCAGTCGATGCGCAGTGGTCGGCAGGCCCCCCCGGCGCCGGGGGGGGGGGGGGGGGGAGCACCAGCCGGACAGCCCTTCGAGGGCACCAGCGAACAGGCGGCGGCTCACGCGCGGCTGGCGCGGACTGGCCTCTCGGGCCCCGGGGGCCTCTCGGCTGGCGGGCGCTCCCGAGGCCCCTGAGAACGGACGGGAGCCGCCAGAAGCGCGCCGAGGTCGCATGCCAACAACATGTCGTATTCAGTGGAGGCCTCCAAATGGGGGCCGAGCAGCTGGGGTCGGATGACCGCGCCACGTCGCCCGTGCAGCGCCAATGCATCGGCGGTGCGTCGGCGACGTCGGCGGTGCCTCGGCGCCGTGGGCATGGAGAAAAGCGGGCTCCACATGGAGCCGCGTCGCCGATGCTCTGGCGATGCGGCGCGGTCCGCCGACCCCACCTACTCGGACCCCGCTCGGCAGGCCCCCCATCTGCTCGGGCCCACACATTGGCGATCAGTGAGCGATGGGGGGTCGATGCATCCCCCTCTGAGCCTGCCCCCCCCAACGTTGCCCCTGATTCCGACGACTGCCGAGAGAAGGATTCTGAACCCAGACCCCCCACGTCGTAATTTTTGAAGGGGCCCTGGGACACACAAATAAACACACACACACAAATAACAGGATTCCCCCTAGTTTTCTATATGTTCTGGGTGTGAGTCTTCCCCCCCACTTCCCATATCTTCCCATATATTCTGGGGAATCGACGATTATTTGTGTCTGTGTGTTTTTTCCCCTCCTGAATTTTTGACATTGTGGGCCCAGACATCTCGACCCCTTCCCTGGGGGCGTCCTGGCCACAGCTTCAAGGCGCACCTGGCGGTGACGACGGGGGGCTTCCAGAAGGCCCACGAAGGCGAAAACGAAGGAAGGGTAGCGGTATCGCTACCATTTCTTAATTACTCTCGGCGGCGAACCGGGGGGAAATGAGAAGGGGAAGGCCTTCTCAGAAGGCTTGGAAGTCCCCAAGCCTCTGAGGAGTTCTCTAAGCCTTCCCCGAAGACAGACAAGAGCTTCTCAGAAGGCGCGAAGGATTCTGAGAAGTCCCGCCGCCGTCTGAGAAGGCCTTCTCCTTCGCATTTCCCCCCCTCGCTCGCTGCCGAATTTGGTTTCTGGTTCATAACTCGGGTCTGCGGCGGGCGTTCGGGACGATCCGGGCACCCCCGGAACGCCCGCGGCGAGGCGCAGCTGCTGGCAAGCGTCCCGAGGCTCGAAAACCGCCGAGAACCGACGAAGCCGCCCGAAAACCTCGAGCCTCGCACCCCGGCGAAGGCGCCCCGAAGACCCCGCAGCTCGACCCCCCGGCGGGCGCCCCCCGCGCCCCCCTGCGCCAGTGGGCGGCTGGCCGACCACCGGTCGATGCACTGCAGCACCGAGGCGCCGGTGGCGTCCTCGACGGCCCGCAGCCGCCCGAGCAGGAGGCGCAGGGCGGCCGCGAAGACGCGGGCGTCCACGGCCGTGTGCGCGTCGATCTGCTGCAGCGTCGCCGCCGACAGCGACGCCGCGCCTCCCGGCGGCATCGCTCCTCCTCCTCCTCCTCCTCCTCCTCCTCCTCCTCCTCCTCCTCCTCCTCCTCCTCCTCCTCCTCCTCCTCCGCTTCTCTTCCTACTCCTCCTCCTCCTCCTCCTCCTCCTCCTCCTCCTCCTCCTCCTCCAACTTGTTCTTGTCTTCAACAGTGGAGACCCATGTCAAGAAACACCCTGCTTGCCTCCAGGGTGACATGGGTTGCTTGGGTTTCGATGGTTCTACGATGGGAGGCGTGACGTTCCCGCACCAAAAAAAACAGTGGACGTCCTGGGGTCTCAGGTTTGGGTTTCGAGTTTCCAAAGAACCTCCTCATCGGACCTCACCGTTCGGTGGCAACTCTTGGGAGCCTCCCACACCCTCTTGTCGGCTCTTGCGAATCGACGCTAATCGACGCTAAATCGACGCTAATCGATGCGAAATCGACGCTAGTCAACGCTAACCGACGCTAAATCGGCGCTGTCTCGTCGACTCCAGACGCCGATCGACGAAATTCAGAGGGTAGACCACAGGCTCCCATGATTTGATACCCAATCTCCGCGAGGTCCGTCACCGCTCGGTGTTGGGACCCTGGGGGCCGCAGTCGCCCGAGACGTCCTCGAAGAACGGCCCAGAGCTCCAAAGCCGTGCGGTGACCCCGACACCCCACTGACTCACAACGCGGCGTGGTCACGCCATTTGGGCGACGATCCAAATCGGGTCTTACGCGAGATGACCCGGCGACCTTACGCGGCGGCTCACGCGGGCCGCCAGCGCGGCACGCTACGCCGGAAGCGAGGGCGCTCACGCGCGACCTCGCACGGGCAGCTTGCGTGCCAATGTCGGCGCAGTCGACAGCCTTTTCTTGCGTCGCTCACTTGGGACCCCCCGACACGAGCGTCGGGCGATCGCTCCTCGGCAGCGAGCCCGGGGGAAAGGTTGCGGGCTCGAGATTCTGAGATTCGAAGTTCGAGATTCTAGGACAGAAAACGCGGGTGGAAGGAACGCGCACCTCTTGTGCATCGCATGGGCCCCCGGTTGCAATTTCGGGGCCGCTTAGTTCCCTTTTCGGGACATATTCCTGAAACCCTCGATCCGGGGGGGAGGAAATTCGGAGGAGCAACAGGAGGACGAGGCAGAGGAACAGGAAGAGGAAGAGGAGGAAAAATAAAAAGAAGAAGAAGAAGAGGAAGAAGAAGAAAAAGAGTAAGAATAAGAATAAGAAGAAGGAGCAGGAGAGAAAGAAGAAGAAGAAGAAGAGAGGAAGAGGAACAAGAAGAAGAGGAAGAGGAAGAAGAGTACGAAGAAGAAGAAGAGGAGGAAGAAGAAGGAGCAGCAGAGGAGGATCAGCACGACGGCGACAGCGACAACAAACGGCAGGCCACACCTCGAGGCGTGTACCGGGTCTCCACCCAGTGCCCCAGCGTGGTGCGGCCGTTGCGCGACGGCGATGCGCAGTCGCACGACTCTGGCAGCGTCCTGTTCGCCTGGCACAACTACTGTTCGTCCTCCTCCCCCTTATCATCGAACTCCTCATCATCTTCATCGACACAGCAACCGTCTTAGTCATAATCCTCGTCCATCATCATCCGCATCATGAGCATCATCATCATCATCATCATCATCAGCATCACCATCATCATCATTATCATCTTTATCAGCATCATCGTCATCGTCATCATCAGCATCGTCATCATCATAATCATCAGCATCAGCATAAGCATCATCATCAGCATCAGCATAAGCATCATCATCCGCATCATCATCGTGATCATCATCATCATCATCATCATCATCATCATCATCATCATCATCATCATCATCATCATCATCATCATCATCATCATCGTCATCGTCATCGTCATCATCATCGCCACCATCCTCAACCTCCTTGCCGCCGTCTGGTCACACAACCACCACGATCGTCACCAGCATCATCGGCAGCTTCGTCATCCTCAGCTCCTCCCTCCTCTTCATCCTCATCCAAATTCTATTCGGCAGCGTTCCCTTGTCGCCAAAGCCGCCTCGACTCGAATGCTGGTGCTTGGCAAGGCCCTAAGGGGCCCGTGTCCAAGCCACCGCACAGCGTGCGCTTTGGTTGGCGGGAGGGCTGACCAATGAGAACGAAGTGCTCGGGCAAAGAGAACCCTTGAGCTCCTCATCATCATCATCATCGTCAGAAGCGGAATCGACATCCTCATCCGCACAGACACCCCATCAGAATCACCACATTCAACACCATTCTCATCATCAACAGCAGCATCGCCACCATCAGATTCATCATCACCCGTATCAGCATCGTAGTCGCCATCATCCGCATACCAATACTCCTCATACGCACTCTCATACGCATCGTCATCAACCACAACGTCGTCCTCATCCCGATCACCGATACCATCACCATCATCATCATGACCTTCATCATAATCCGCCGACCCCTTGAGGCGTGTGAGACTGTTCCCCCCCATAATCCCCCTCCTGGGACTCCAAACCGGCAAATTGACAACCACCACCCCTGGGCCTGGCACTACCCACCGCCGAACTCATCTGGGGGGGTCCGGCCCCCCCCGGGCTCCCTTTGGAGCGCGCAGACAGCCCCTGAGGCCTCCGAAGAGGCCCCCCAGACGGTCCAAGAGGGCCCCGACTCGCCGAAATATCGTTCCAAGCCGCCCAAGATGACCTCCACACGGCTCAAAATGCTCCTAAGATGCCCTAAGAGGCCTCTTACAGCCTCCCCCAGAGGGCCGTAAGAAGCCAAAATCGTCCCATTCCTTCCCAGAAACGTAAATTTTAGCAGATTCGCCTCTGGGGTTTTGATTACGTCCTAGACAAGCCAGGAAGCCCCCACAAGGGCTCTAGGACGGCCTAAGATAGCCCCAAGACGGCCAAAGGCGGCCACAGAAACCCCCAAGCAAGCCGAAAAGGGCCCCAGGACGGCCCCAAGGAAGGGCCCAGAAGCGGAACCCGACCAGAAATTTCGACCCGTCGGCCCCAAGACGCCAAGACGCCCCCAAGAGCCCTCCCACGAGACCCTATAAGCCATCCGAGTGGCCTCAGACCCACAACCCCGTTCGCGGTCCAGGTACCCGCACACTGTCTCCAGATTAAGGTGAAACCATGCGTTCTGGGGGTGCCAGGATCATCCCGAACGGCCTCCGGAGGTCTAAGCTCACGCCCGCAAACCAGATACTCACTTTTCCTCCTCCTCCTCCTCCTCCTCCTCCTCCTCCTCCTCCTCCTCCACCCCCTCCTCCTCCACCTCCACATGCCCCTGCTCCTCCTCCTCTTCGCCCATCCGGCCCCGAGCATCGACACAAGAAGGCCCCAGGACAGCACAAGAAGGTCCCCGACTAGATCAAGGGGTCGGCGAATGTGGCGTAAGCCTATAGGATCTTCATCCACATCGCCACCCGCACCCTCACCGCAATGTCATCATCGGCAGCATCACCAGTATCAGCATCAGCATCGCCATCACCAGCATCATCACCATCAGCGTCACTAGCAGCATAAGCCGCATCGGCAGCATGAGCATCGCCATCCACATCATCATCCTCACCCTCACATCGAAATCCTCATCAGCGTCAAAATCATCATCTTCACCAACATTCGCATCCTCCTAGTCAGCCGCATTGACATTGTCGACGTCACCATCATCGTCACCACCACCATAATCAAAGATTTTACAATCGCAACAACAGTCACTGTTATCTTCGTCATCACCTGCGCTATTGCCATCGCAGTCGCCATCGCCATAATCACCAGCACCATCATTACAATAGAAATCGTCGACACACCATCGTCGTCATCATCACCACCGCCATCACCATCCGCATCATCAAAATGGTCGGCATCGTCCTCCTCATCATCTCAATCCTCGTCGACGTCGTCATCGTCACCGTAATCCTCCCTCTCCCCCCGCCATTCCCCCTATTCTTCCCGTCCTTCCTCCACTCATGCGAAAACACCTGAAGGCCGTCAAATGCCAAAAACAACAGCTCCCCTCTCCCTCCTCCAAGGGGGAAGGGAGGAGACTGACGAGGAGAGAGGAGGCAGGAGGAAGAGGAGGACAAACGCGTCGGCCCATGCCAAGCCAAGTCCGAGCAACAGAACCATGAGAAGGACAAATGTAAACCCAAGACGAATCAACGTTGTTACAAAAAAACCTTCTTCATAGGTCCCTACAAGAATCTATGTTTATCGCGGGAAATGCCCCATTGAAAAACAACCGCCTGAGAATCCTAAACCGTGCAAATTTCCACGCCGCGAATCAACGTGCTTGTAGCGTCCCAGCCATCCCAAATCGTGCCATAGAACCATTCCTGGGACCTCAAAACCGCGAAACAACGTGACTGGTGCGTCCAGGCAACCATTAGTCGTGACAGAACACTCTCCCTGGAACTTCGACAATGCGAGACCTTGAAATTGCTGCAAACTTCTAAGACGAACGAGCGCAGCGCTAAAATAAGGCGAAAGCCAGAACTGGAATCGCCCTCCGCCCTGGAAACGGCTGCAAGACGAATGCGCGCTGCGATGAGGCGAAATCCACGCCGTTACAAAGGAGCCGCCATCAACGCATGAAACTGTTGCAACCTTCTCGGACGAACGAGCGCAGCGCTAAAATCAGGCGAGAGTCACACTTCGAAAGGAACCGCCCTCCGCCCTGGAAAACGGCTGCAAGACGAATGCGCGCTGCGATGATGCGAAATCCACGCTGTGACAAAGGAGCCACCATCAATGCATGAAACTGTTGTCACCTTCTCGGACGAACGAGCGCAGCGCTAAAATCAGGCGAGAGCCACACTTCGCAAAGGAATCGCCCTCCGCCCTGGAAAACGGCTGCAAGACGAATGCGCGCTGCGCTGAGGCGAAATCCACGCCGTGACAAAGGAGCCGCCATCAACGCATGAAACTGTTGTAGTCTTCTCGGACGAACGAGCGCAGCGCTATAGAAGGCGAGAACCACACTTCGCAAAGGAATCGCCCTCCGCCCTAGAAAACGGCTGCAAGACGAATGCGCGCTGCGATGAGGCGAAATCCACGCCGTGACAAAGGAGCCGTTATCAACGCATGAAACTGTTGTAGTCTTCTCGGACCAACGAGCGCAGCGCTAATATCAGGCGAGAGCCACACTTCGCAAAGGAACCGCCCTCCGCCCTGGAAAACGGCTGCAAGACGAATGCACGCTGCGATGAGGCGAAATCCACGCTGTGACAAAAGAGCCGTCGTCAAAACACGAAACTGTTATAGTCTTCTAAGACGATGTGCGCGGCGCGAAGGCGATACCCTCATTTAATCGATAGCATATGTATACACAAACAGCCAACAAAAAACAACAAAAAACAAAGAAACAACAAACCAAAACAACAACAAAAAACACAAAAAAAAAAACAAAAAACAAAAAAAAACAAAAAACAAAAAAAAAAAAAAAAAAAAAAAAAAAAAAAAAAAAAAAAAAAAAAAAAAAAAAAAAAAAAAAAAAAAAAAAAAAAAAAACAAAAAAAAAAAAACGCCCTCCGTACTTGCTGGGACGCACAGAGACATACAAGTAATGTACGTCCTCCTTGGAGGCGCGGGTCCGACCCAAACAGTCAGTACACCCATCTTGCAGCAGATCGTTTCACGAGCAGGGTGGCAAGAAAGCGCCCGCCACGACGCATATGCTACAAGAGTTCTCGGTGCGCGCGTCGTCCCAGGGGGGCGACGCACACATAGTATGAGTATGTTGGGGTGACGCCGACTTGAGACTGCGAACTTTCAAACGGATGTGCGCGGCGCTGCGACGAGAGCAACATTTGGAAAACTGCCCGCCCTTGATCCTTGAAGCTGCTGCAAATTTCAAGCTTCGGGGTCACAGATGGTGAGGAAGTCTCGAGCGAAACGCCTGGCCCGCCCTACCGACGGGGGCGCGACAGGGAGGAGCTGTTCATAAGGAAAAGGGGATGGAGGAGAAGTGGAAGAGGAGGAGTCGGGGGAGAGGAGCGGTCAAGCAGGAACAGGAAAGGAAGAGCAGAAGCAGAAGGAATAACGCCACGAACATGAACTGTTGGCGCTCCGCGCGGATTTCTTGGATCTGCGCTGGACCCCCTCCTTGGCGCGGAGCGCACCAGGGGCGGCGCCGGAGGCGCCGAGGGGGGGGGGGCCCGGCGCGGATCCAAGAAATCCGCGCGCAGCGCCAAAATTTTATATGTATGGCGTTTGTTCTTCTTCGAGTGAGGCAGAGGGCCTGGAAGTGGAGGAGGCACAGGCTGGGCTCGAAGAGATCCGTCAGCCCGATCCACTCGAAGCGGCGCATCGACGCGAGGGCCTCGTCGAGAGGCGGGTGCAGCGAGTCGCCCCCGTCGAGCACCTTGAAGCGGAGGAGGAGCGGAGGAGGGAGAGGAGGAGAAGGAGGAGGAGGAGGAACGGGGGGGGAGGAGGGAGAGGAGGGGGAGGTGGTGGTGGAGGGGAGGAGGAGGAGGCGGAGGAGGAGGAGGAGGAGGAGGAGGAGGAGGAGGAGGAGGAGGAGAGGGGGAGGGAGGAGGAGGGAGGAGGAGGGAGGAGGAGGAGGAGGAGGAGGAGGAGGAGGAGGAGGAGGCGGAGGAGAAGGAGGAGGAGGAGGAGGAGGACCACTGTAAGCCCAAGAGTCACCAACGATGTTGGAATAAGCCCTCCCCCGAAGTTCCCTCTTCATAGGCCCCTGCAACGATTCACTTCCACATAGTGACCTGCCTCGTTCGAAGACACCCGTTTGAAGACCCTGAAGCATGCCAAGTTGTTCTCGGCATTCCAACGCCACGGATAAACCTGACTGTTGCGTCTTGACGATCCAGAATCGTTCCAGAACGCCAGTCCTGGGACTTCGACACCGCGAATCATCATAATTGTTGCGCCCCCATAATCGCGAATCCTTCCAAAAATCCTTTGTATAATAAGAATGTGCGCGGCGAGAGCCACATGTAGAAAACGACCCGCCCTCAATCCGTGAATCTCTTGCAAATGTCTGAATCGAATGTGCGCAGCGCTGAGGCGAGAGCCCCATTCTGAAAACCGCCCGCCCTCAATACGTGAAACTCTTGCAAAAGTCTAAAACGAATGTGCGCGGCGCTAAGGCGACAGCCACGTGTTGAAAACTACCCGCCCTCAATCCGTGATACTCTTGCAAATGTTTAAAAACGAATGTGCGCGGCGCTAAGGCGAGAGCCACGTTTTGAAAACCACCCGCCCTGTCTGGGAAACTGGTGTCAATGTTTAAGCTTCAGGGTCATAAATGGTGAGGATGTCTCAGGCAAAACTCACGGCCCGCCCTAAAGCTGGCCTCGGGGTGCGAGAGGGAACAGTTATTGACAAGGAGAAGGAATGAGGAGGAGGAGGAGGAGGAGGAGGAGGAGGAGGAGGGGGAGGGGGGAGGAGGAGGAGGAGGAGGAGGAGGAGGAGGAGGAGGAGGAGGAGGAGGAGGAGAGAAGAAGAACGGGGGTGGAGGAGGAGAAGGAGGAGGAGGAGGAGGAGGAGCAGGAGGAGGGGGAGAAGAAGGAGGGGGAAGGGGAAGAGGAGGAGGAGGAGGAGGAGGAGGAAGGAGGAAGCTTTGGGCGGGTCTCGAAGGTGCTCGGCGGCTGCCAGCGAGTCTTGGGGGGTTCTAGCAGGTCCTGGAGGTCTTCGGGAAATTTCAGAAAGGTTTCTGAAGTTGCTGGGGGAGGACAGCAGCTTTCCGTGGCTCCCGTGGCGTTCCAAAGGGTGCCCGGATGGGGGGGGGGGGCGGGGGAGGAGGCGAGGGGGGACAGGGACGAGGGGAAAGGGGGAGGGGAAGGAAGGATGGGGAGAGAGAGGGGGGGGGCAAAGGGGGGGGTGAGGGAGGAGGAGAGAGGAAGGGAGGAGAGGGGGCCAAATCTGGCTGCCGCCGTGGCGTCAGTCTCCCCGCGGGCGCCTTGAAGTGGTGCCCGAAGCTGCCCCGCGCCTTGCTGCACGTCAGGGCGTGGGCCTGCGTGTTCTCCAGGGAGATGACTCGCACCTTCGCACCGCACCCCATCCTCCTCCTCTCTCCTCCCCTCCTCTCTCCTCCTCCTCCTCCTCCTCCTCCTCCTCCTCCTCCTCCTCCTCCTTCCTCCTCCTCCTCCTCCTCTGCCTCTCCTCCTCCTCTCCTCCTCCTCCTCCTCCTTCCTCCTCCTCCACCTCCTCCTCCTCCTCCTCCTCCTCCTCCTCCTCCTCCACCTCCCCCCTCTGGAGGGGCGGCTCACGCCTCGAGGACCAGGAGGAACTTCCCCGCTCTCCTCTGCAGGTTCGGAGGGGCAACTTCTGGAAGGCCGGCGCAAGAACGGGCAAGGGCTACAAGTCAAGTGGGAGGGGCCATTCAGCCGGATGAAGCCTGACTAGGCCATGGCTTCAGCTGGACTTAGCCGGATTGATTGGGATGATTACGCCGAATCAAACGGAATACTGCATGCCGAGACACGGCTGTGTCAGCGCCGATGCTACACTTGACATCCCATGGAGGCAACCCAGGCTCACCTCTTCCTGACCCATTCCCCCCTCCCCCGAGAGGGGGCGGGGCGCCCTCTCGCCTTGTCCACCTCTGCAGGGAGGGTCTGGGGGAATCCAGCGCGTGGGTGCGAAGCCGAGGGAAGAGGATGGGGAAGAGCAAGACGAGGAGAGGGGCGGCGCGAAGAGGAGACGACACTGGAGGAGAAACAGACTGCAAGAACTCAAGCTTTCGCAGCTCCGAGCAGACTTCTTGGATCGGCGCTGGGCCCCCCTCCCTGGCGCCTGGGGCGCCGCTGGGGGTCCCCAGAGCAGATCCGAAGAGTCCTCGCGGAGCTCCGAACATCTATGTCCGCAGCGCTTGTGTGATTTGCGAGGGACGGCGCGCACCCTCCCAGACGGCCCCGCCGGGCTCGTGCCCGCCGCCAGGAGCTCCTCTCGGAGCGGGGCCAGCTGAGACACAGCGGCAGCTCCTGCTCGACACCCGGACAGCTCCGGGGGTCCGAAGGCACCGGTTGTTCTCCGAGCTGCATCCAGCCGTGGCGACGAGAGGCTCCCACGAAAGCCACCTGCCGATGCCTCAGCTGACCCCCCCTCTAAGCGACGGTGGACAGACCTCCCTCCAGCAGACCACCCTTCAGCGCGAAAACGGCCTGGGACCGAACCCGACGGACCTGGGCCCGCGAAAAATGACGGCCGCGACGCCCTCTCGCGAACCGAAAACTGCCAATTCACGAATCGACGTGTCAGGGTAGGGGGGTCTGTCCACCCCCGATCTTTGGACGCCCGAAATGGGTACGCAAAGAATGGGTACAATGCCCAACAACAAATGTTGTCCCAAACCAACAGCGGCCGCTGTTGAGCAGGCGGCCTTCTGTCTCAGATGGACACAGGCCGCGGCGGCGCGGACAGCGAGTCCTGTTCAAAGTGAACAGGGACTGCTGGTGGGCATTGTACCCGTTCTTTCCGTGCCCAGTTCCTTCGTGCAGACGATCTAAGGCGCGCGCCTTCCCAGCCGGCCTCCCCAGGCCCGTGCCCGTTGCCATGAGCTCCTCCAGGGCGCCCTTCCAGTCGGAGCTCCCCTGCGCGCAGCTGTCGCCGCAGGCCCGCTCGGCACCCCGCAGCACCAGCTCCGCGAGGTAGAGCGGCACGTCCGAGGCCGCGCGCGCCCACGAGCCGTGGTGCGCGTCGTGGCAGTGCGAGAACTGGGACAGCACGTGGGCCCTCCGCACGGTGGCCGCGAGCCGCCCCCATATATAGATATATAGAGATATATATATATATATATATATATATATATATATACCCCCAAGAGGAAGCAAGAAAACGAGGTTTTGGTGTTTTTGCTCTAGCCCTGGGGGCCCTCGCCAGGTCCTGGGACCGTCAAGAGCTCGATTCGGGATGAAAACCCGGACCCGGCGAACAGATCGAGACTCGGGCATGGACAGACCTCCCTTTAGTAAAACGTGGTTTCGTGAAAACGACCTCGGGCCCAAACCTGGCGGGCGCAAGCCTGGAAAAGAACGGCCGCGGCGCCCCCTCGAGAACCGAAAACGGACAATTCACTAATCGACGTGTCACTGTTGGGGATTCTGTCCACCCCCGAGAGACACCACCTGGGGGTCCCGGTCGTGCCAAAGACCACAACGTCGGGCCTATGGGGCCGGCGATCCAGAGAACTGGGCGGGCGCTGCAACCGGTTGCGCCCTCACGGATCGATCCACCTCGAGAAAAACGCCGCGGAAGGCTGGGGCCCGGAGCGCTGGCTGTGATTTCGCACCGTGCTGCAGCTGTTGCCGCGACATCGGCTCTGAATCAGGGATTCTTGGGGCGTCTTGCGCCCTCCTCGGGGCCTCTTCGGCGGTCCTGGGGCGCTATTGGGTATTGGGGGCGTCTGGGGCCCTCTCGGGGGTCCTTTTTCGGAGCGGCGGCCGCGGTAAGTACGGCCAGAGGCCCGATCAGACCAGGCCGCACCTCTTGCAGGCAAGCCTGAGCACGCGAGAGGGCACGCGAGAGGGCACGAGCTCGCTTCCGAGAACCACATTTGCCACGGGAGTGCAGGAGGCATGGGTCGCGAAACACAGGGCACAGTGAACGCATGAAAAACGACCCCCACCCCCCACATGAAGAACTTTTTAGACTAATGGGACCGCCAAACGACGCGTGAATTACAAACGGAAACAGCTCGACGGTCAGCCGACGACAACGCCGCGCAATTCAATGCGAACGGCGCGTTGCTGCTATGCTCGTTGCCGTTTGATGAACTTGGCGTTGCCTTGTGCTGGCACGCTGTCAATGCCCAAAATCGTACGGGGGTGCCAATCGGTCGGAAGAAGTAGGTAGAACCACAAGTAGGAAGGCGTTGAAAGTAGACTGGGTGTCCGCCCGCCCCCTAAGGAGGACGGAGGAGGGGAAGCCACTCGAGCATTGAGGCAGGAAGGCGCCCAAGGTAGACTGGAGCCTGGGAATCCAAAAGAAGTACCTCCTTTCAACGACCGATGGGAATCTCTCCTTTGGCAAGGTCGACCTCAGCGGACTCGAATATTCGGGTGTTGCTAGAAGTACCCCTGGCCCAAGGTGCCTCCAGCTTTTCGCTGCATTTTGGAGCCCCTGGGGCCCTCTGGGCCTCGTAATGGGTGCTTTGGAGGCCGTTTGGGCTACCCCGAGAGTCCTGGGGGCACCTTGGCCCAGGGGCACTTCTAGCAACACCCGAAATATAGGGCGATGGTCCTCGCGCCGGACCGAACCGAACCGAACCGGGGCCATCGCGCAGAAGGCAGGCGCCGAGAACCGCCGCCTGGTCCGAGAAAAAAGGGGGCAGGGTATCAAAGAAGGGCTGCAGCGACTTACAAGGGCTCCCAACTTCGCGCTCTCGCGCTGCGCGAAGCGCGAAGCGCGAACAACTTCGCGCCCTCGCGCCGCCCCCCCAAAGGGAGAAAAGGAGGACGAGGAGGAGGGGGAGAAGGAGCGAGGACCGCGAAGCGCGAAGCGCGAATATCTTCGCGCCCTCGAGGGCGCCCTTGGACTTCGCTCCCGCGGCCGGCTTTCCTGACGCCAGGGGCGCCCATGCGTCCCGGAGAGCTCCCGGCGGCGGGGCCGAGAACTCTGCTGCGCGCCACAGAGTTCGTGAACTGCCCCCAGTCCCCAGAGGCCTGCCAAATGGGAGGCCGCGGAGGTGGGGTCGGAGCATCGTGCCGCATCGCCGATACATCCCCGATGCATCGGCAATGCATCGGCCAAATCGCTGATCGATCGGTGACGTCGGCGAGGAGACAGCCGGGCTCCACATCGAGCCACATCGCCGATACATCGGCGATACAGCGCGATCCGCCGTCCCCACCTGCTTCGACCCTCTATATCTATATATATATACACATATAGAGAGAGAGATATTGATGAACGGCCTGGCTGCACCCGGCAGACGTCACGACCCCAGACAGCTGGTTGCTCCAATTTCTTGGATGCGTGGGCTCTGGAGAGGTCTGGACCACTTCCCTGGGGCCAGCTTTTCGCCCGGAGCCGTTTCTCGACGGCCCCGAGGCCCGGCGAGGGCCCCCAGAGGCCGATCGAGGCCCACCACCCGCCGCTCCATCTTCTTGCTCGGAGCGCCGTCTGGGACCGCCCCCCTCTCTTGAAGGCCTGGGAATGGGCACCAGCACCAACTCAGGGGGTTGCCTCCAAAAGGGGGAGATGATCCCAGATTTCGGTGTCGGTGGTAATACTTCTGTCGCCTTGGAAGCCAGAATATTACCACCACCACCGAGATCGGGATGGTCTGCCCTCGGTGGAGGCGCACCGCCGATATTCAAGGGCTCCCAACTTCGCGCTTCGCGCTGCGCGAAGCGCGAAGCGCGAATAACTTCGCGCTCTCGCGCCGCCCTCCCAAAGGGAGAATAGGAGGACGAGGAGGAGGGGGGAGAAGGAACGAGGACCGCGAAGCGCGAAGCGCGAATAACTTCGCGCCCTCGAGGGAGCCCTTGGATATTGGTGTTGGTGTCAACCTCTAGGCCTGCGACTCTCTCCCCCGCTCACACGCCCCTCGCCCGCCCCGACACGACCGGGCCCCCGCGGGGCCCACGCGCAGCGCCCGCGGAGGCCCCGCGGCGGTGCCCTGCGGACCCCCCGCCCCCCCCCGCCTCGCTCCGCCTCGCTCCGCCTCGCTCCTCATCCTCCTCCTCCTCGTCCTCCTCCTCCTCCTCCTCCTCCTCCTCCTCCTCCTCCTCCTCCTCCTCCTCCTCCTCCTCCTCCTCCTCCTCCTCCTCCCCCTCCCCCTCCTCCTCCTCCTCCCGCGGGCCTCGGCGAGCGCAGCAGCGTGCCGTGGAAGCCGCCCCTCGGCGCCCGCACGTCGGCGGCGCAGCACTCGCAGTTCAGGCCGCACAGGGCGGCGCTCACCGCCGCCGCAGCGGCCGCGCAGGCCCAGGGGGCGGACGCGCGGGGGGCGCCACGGCATCCGCGCGCACCCGGCCCGGCCCAGGCCCGCACGGAGAGGCCTCCTGGAGGGGGTCCGAGTAGATGGGGGTCGATGCATCGGCGAGGCACTGGCGACGCGTCGTCGACGTCGGCGATGCGTCGGCGCCGTCGGCGTGGAGAGCATCGGGCTCCACATCAAGCCGCATCGCCGGTGCATCGGCGATGCGGCGCGACCCTCCGACCCCGTATACTCCGACCCCATCTAGGAGGCCTAGAGCCCTGGGCTTAGGTCGGGCATGTCCTCCTACGGGCGGATTTTGGAAGATATAGATATGTGTATATATATAGATGTATATCAGCTGGAGGAGGAGGAGGAGGCAGAAGCTGGGGTGGGTGCACCCGCACAGGAGGATCCCACCTGGGTGGGGGCACCCGCACAGGCGGATCCCACCCGGCGAGAGGAGGTAGAGGGGGCGGGGAGGCACCCGCACAGGCGGACCCCGCCAGCAGAGAGGAGGACGACGAGAGCAGAGGGAAGCGCACAGGTGCTGACTTCCGGGTGGCCTCACTGTGTCGTGCTGCTGCTGTTCTTCGTGATCAGCGGCCGCGGCATGCACAACGTTTTCATTTGCACGGAACCTCGTCACCAGCCTGTTTGTCTACTTATCTTGAATATTCCTCCTGTATGGGGGACATGCCCGACTTACTAACCCTGGGCCCCAACCACGGTCCCAGACGGGCTCGCGTCCTGCAAAACCACAGCGGAAGATAGCTTGGCCGCGCTCGGCCTCTGGGAGAGCAAAAGGCCAGGCCCTGGGGCCGTCAACAAAACTACTGGAGGAAGAGCAGGACAAGGCGGAGGAGGAGGAGGAGGAGGAATATGAGGAGGAGGAGGAATATGAGGAGGAGGAGGCGGAGGAGGAGGAGGAGGAGGAGGAGGCGAAGGAGGAGGGAGGATGAATGAGAGGAGGAGGACCTGAGAGGAGGAGGAGAAGGAGGAGGAGGAAGAGGATAGGGAGCAGGAGGAGGAGGAGGAGGAGGAATGAGAGAAGGAGGAGGAGGAGGAGGAGGAATGAGAGGAGGAGGAGGAATGAGAGGAGGAGGAGGAATGAGAGGAGGAGGAGGAGGAGGAGGAGGAGGAGGAGGAGGAGGAGGTGGAACAACAAAAAATCGAGACATCGGATGTCCCGGGTGCGTGCCCCCCTTCCGACGGGGCCGGCCCCGCCCGCGGGGCCAGCCCTCTGCGGCCGCGGCGGATCGGTCGGCGGAGGCCCCCGTCGGCGGCCGGAGGAGGCCGCCCGCTGCAGCGCCCGAGGGGTTGGTCTCCGGTCGGGCAGCGTCCTCCTACGAGCGGCTCTTGGACGAAGGATGAGAAATGGTCCAAGGCTGCTCCACGGTAGTCAAAAAGAATCCAAACACCTCGTCCCCAGACTGCAGTCGGACTCGACTGGACGGGACGCGCGAGAGGACACGAGGCCCTTCCGAGGGCCACACTGCCACGGGGGATGCAGGAGGCATGGGTCGCGAGGCACGGGACACAAGGGTACCTCAGGGTACCCTTGATTTGGCAGGGTCGACCTACTAATCAGGGCCGACTGCATTTTTGGGCCATCTTTGAATCTGCCTCCTGCAGAGGACCAGGCCCCATTCTCGAGGTTGGTCCAAGAGCGACGGCCGCGGGGCTTTCGGCGACGCCCGGGGGCTCTGGCTCGGGGGTTGCTCAAGAGGTGCCCCCTGGCCCAGGGTGCCCACGGCTGTTGTCGCTCGATGTCAGAAGCCTGGGGCCCTCTTCGCCTCGCGAGGGGTGCTCGGGAAGCCTTCGTGGGGCCTCCTTGGGAACCCCGGGGGCACCTCGGGCCAGGGGCACTTCTGGCGACGCGCGACCTGGGAGGTGTGCACGGACAGCTGGCGCCCCCCGAGACGTGTTGCTGGCCGCGCGAGGGGAGGCCGCGGCGAGCCGGCAGGGGGCGAAGTCGAGGCGTGGCACCGCCTGCCGCGAGAGGTGCGCCTCGAGCGACTCGCCGCCCGTCTTGCTGATGGGCCAAGTAAGTGTCCACCACCGCTACCACGGGTAGGATGGGGGAGAAGGGACGATGGGGGAAGGTCGTCCTCCTCCTCCTGCTCCTTCGCCTCCTCCTCTTCCTCCTCCTCCTCCTCCTCCTCCTCCTCCTCCTCCTCCTCCTCCTCCTCCTCCTCCTCCTCCTCCTCCTGCGCATCCTCTCCTCCTCCTCCTCCTCCTCCTCCTCCTCCTCCTCCTCCTCCTCCTGCCTCTGGTAGTGGTGGTGGAAATTCGGCCCATCATCTTGATGATGTGGAGGAGCCGCAGCGGCTCTCCGCCGTCGAAGGTCGCGAGGGGCTCCGCGTCTGGCAGCCTGATGCGCCGGAAGAGGGCCGCCGACCTGGCCGAACTGGACGGGGATACGTACCTAGAGCCAAAGAAAAACGGCACACACAAAAAACATAAACTGTCGGCGCTCCACGCGGATTTCTAGGATGCGCGCCAGGGGCGGCGCTGAAGGCGCCGCCGAGGGGGCCCGGCGCGGAGCCAAGAAATCCTCGCGGAGCGCCAAGAGTGTATGTTTATGGCGTTTGCTTATTAGTATTACTATTATTATTAATATTGTTAAAATTATTATTCTTATTATTAGTATTATTAGTATTATTATTAGTATTATTATTATGATTATTCCCCACATCCAAAGTGGGGTTCTTGTTTTCTCTGGACACCCCGCGCAGGAACAGGAACACACACACACACACTCACACTCACTCACACTCTCTGATTATCAACCTTATCAGCATCATCGATGATGCTCTCTCACATGCTTCTTCAATCAACATACTCATCATCACTCACAACACTCGCAACACTCACACACGCTCACTAACATCCATCATCATCATCATCAAACATCAGCAGCAACATCATCATCAACATCGTCGAACGGCCAATCATCCTCATATCCCACAGTCATCAGCGCCACCACCACTCACATCATCATCCATCCTCTCACACCACTCATCCTTCAACCACCACTCCATCATCTCATCTCATCATCTATGAGTCAATTTTGAGAAGTCTCAGGGCGAGGGGTCCCCCTCCCTAGGGAGCCGCAAATCATGGTGGAATCCAAGCGGGTCATCGGAACCTGTAACTGTCGTCACTTTTGGGCTACCCAAGGCCTGAATATGGAGGAAGTCTCAGGCGGGGCCTCGTCTTGTGAGTGAATGGGAGGAAAGTCCTCAGGCGGGAGCGTCTCCCTCCCTATGGGGCCCGCAGATCATGTTGGTAATCCGAGCGGGTCATCGGAACCTGTAACTGTCGTCACTTTTGGGCTCCTCAAGCCTGAACTTGGAGGAAATCTCAGGCGGGAGCCTCGTCTGTGAGTGAATTCTGAGGAAGGCTCACGCGGGAGCCCCCTCCCTATGGGGCCCGCAGATCATGTTGGTAATCCGAGCGGGTCATCGGAACCCTGTAACTGTCGTCACTTTTGGGCTCCGCAAGCCTGAAAATGGAGGAAGTCTCAGGCGGGAGCCTCGTCTGTGAGTGAACTGCGAGGAAGTCTCAGGCGGGAGCCCCCTCCCTATGGGGCCCGCAGATCATGTTGGTAATCCGAGCGGGTTACATAACATCGGAACTTGTAATTTGTCGGTTACTTTGGCTCCTCAAGCCCTCGATATGGAGGAATGTCCTCAGGCGGAGCCTCGCTGTGAGTGAACTGCGAGGAAGTCTCAGGCGGGATCCCCCTCCCTATGGGGCCCGCAGATCATGTTGGTAATCCGAGCGGGTCATCCAAAACCTTGTAACTGTCGTAAATTTTGGGTTCTCGCGCTGCCAGA